CAAAGAAAATATTTAATATGGAAAATTGTTAATGATGAGTGATGATGAATTGTTAGTGTCCAGGAACAAAAAAAGCACTATAACAGTCTACGATGTGTTTGAAATGTGACTATTAAAGTTGAGATTTTGCAGTGGCGGATCCAGGGGGTTCCAGGGGGTGGAACCCCCCTTTTTTTTTTGATAATCAATGCATTTGAATGGGGACATATAGTTGGAACCCCCCCTTTATCCTGGGTTAGGAACCCCCCTTTTATACATGGCTGGATCAGCCCCTGTTTTGTGTCAGGAGTCGATATAATCCCCTTAAAAATTCCTGGCTATTGGCCTATGTTACATACATTGTACATGTACCATGCCATGAAACAAAAAAATTGATGATAAAAATTTGTGAACTTTTTGATGTTTTAATAAACAGAAAAAATATATTGCCATTGGTATCCTTAATTCGTCTAAAAGAAGAAAATATTTTGTTGATAAAATCAGTAGCTTTTCAGATCTTCCTATGACCAACCAAAATAAATGTACATACTGTGTGTGTTACATGTGTATAAGGGTCACAAAGGGCCAATGGTGTATGTTTTTTTTGGCAACATAGTTTTAGGATCTCTCGATGCTTGGAAATTTGTCCTTTAAACAGACTGTCTTGTGGTTTACAAGAGTTATTTTTCCTAAAAAAGTTTCTTATGTTTGAAGTTCACTTTTTGAAAGTGCACACCAAAAAAATCAGTGATGAAATTTAGCATTATCCTCGCTATTTATTGAATACATCATTTGGATCTTCAGAATAATTGATTGTTTGCTTAACATCCAGTGGCTGTATTTAGGATTTGAAATTTCATTTGAAAATGAGGGTATACCCTCACAGATGATAATGTGAGGGTATACTGGATAAGGAGTATTAAGGACAGAAATAAGCTTTGCAAAAGGTCACTAATGCCCCCTCTAAGAGTTGTTCAAGGGTGGTCGTCTGTAATGTCTAAACCATCTTTAAATGTCATTTTTGGAGACTTCTTTTCTTGTTAAAAGTTACCAAGAAGCTCAAGCCACAATATTAGTTTATGGTAATCAGGCAGATCCAGCCAATTATAAAAGGGAGGTTCCAACCATATGTCCCCATTCAAAAGCATTGATCGTCAACAAAAAGGGGGGTTCCAATCATGTGTCCCCATTCAAAAGCATTGATTGTCCAAAAAAAAGGGGGTTCCAACCCCCAGACCCCCCCTGGATCTGCCACTGAGTTGATGTCCTAAATGTTTATAAATATAAAAATCTCAGATATCATGTGCCAATGAGACATCTATGCACCAGAGTTCCATTATAGGTTACTGCACAGCTTTCAATAATGAGAAAAGCCCATACCATATAGTCAGCTATAAAAGGTCCCAAAATAAAAATTGTGAAATGGGAAAACTAATTTATAACAATACAATATACACATATATCATGATTTCAGCTGATCTTGTCCAAGTAATGATAAAATAAGAATTCTTGATGCCATTTCTATGGAAAATCACTATATTGATTCTTTTAATATTTGTTTGCTGTAAAGTAAAAGTAGGTTGCTGTTTGACAATGGCAGTAACCAGTTTTGTCCATAAATGCTATGTACATGTAGTTCACTGTGACAAAGATATTGACTTGAGTTGTTTCAAAGCATCGTTTTTTTTTATGTAATGGAAAGTACCTAAAATAAGATGCCAAAGGTTTGTTTTGAAAACTGTGTAGTCTATTACAAAAACATAATTTGACTAACAGGTTTTACCTTGCATATTGTTGCTGTTGTCTAACATGTTTGTGGTGGTACATCTGTGTCTATCAAATGATGTCTAAATAAAGAAAATCTGCAATATGTGTCCCAGATGGTATGATACATCATTTCAGTCCCAAAAATTGTGTATGGTTTGTGTAGCTGCTAGCATTGTAAAATTGTAAGGCTTGAAAAAAATTGCATAATGCAGGTTTTGCACACAGTACCATTCCTGGAATACAGGTAAGTCAGTTTAATATATACTTTAAAACTAATTTTGTTTTATATTCTTATTTTTATCAATTTAAAAATGATGATTTTATGTTTTGTTGACAAATAAAACTTTTTAAAAATTGTTACACCACTTATTTTATTTGCCCAATATTTTTTATTTCTCCAATGACGTGTGGAATTCTTGATGGAATGTTTGTGTTCTATTCAACCTTTCTTCTACAGTTCATTATAATATTGATTGACAGTTTTATAATATTTGCTGGATATACTTTACTTTAATGCTTTATACTCAGTAGCAATATGTTTGATTAACTTGGCTTTCAGGGTCCGACTTTAATTATTTTCGTTTAGATATTTGGTCAGATCATAAACTAAAACTTCCAATATTTAAATTAGATATTAGATCAGTGCTGCACGTTGTATTTCAATTGGACAGGGATAATTTGGCAAAACCTTTTGTTCTGATCAGAGTCGATATTCGTTGGCAACCGGTAAAGGTCAACTAAAATATTGAAACATGATCATCCATTGCAAGTCTGTTCGAGTTACTCGGAATTGGGTCAGTGGCATTATTCTTGTAATGTCATTTAAATGTTTGTAGTGGGATGAGAATTTCGTATGCTGTTTATATGTTAGCTATTTGAAGCCCGTAGCCCAAATCTTGTTACTTAAAGGTCAAAAGGTTATGACCACGATATATTGCCGGGAGAAATTCTTGATATTATCTCGCATTTTTTCGATTGTCCGTGTTAGTATTTCATTCTCGTCTACCAATGTTTGCAAGCATCTAATTAAATGTGAAACATCGATTACCAAGGCTGTGTTGTGATTATTTGCAGTGGGTTAAAACAGAGACATTGTATTATATGTCTCTAGTTAAAAGTAATGAATCCGTTGAGATTTTGTAGAAATAATGGGACCCGTTAATATTTTGTTAACTCGTGAAATATTCTGGGCCTTCCATGATATTAATAATCAATTTGAAAAAAATATATATACAATGTCGACTACGGTTTTTTGAGATCATATTTGTTGAACGACATAGAAATTGATAGAAAAATACAGACCACACGATGTAGCAATTAATACCAACAGCAAGGAAGCAGAATATTTGTTCTTGGTCGTGGATGGTCACTGTTCTAATTGATTCAGTGATCTCTAAGGCCAAGGCAAACAAAGTGTTGTTGTTTATATGTTATGTTGAGGCAGTCGTTGGTACCAGAGAGAATACATGATTTTTATTGATTTTCTTCGGCATTTTGCGTTGGAATCGGTGACGTGATAATTTCTGAATAAGGTTGTCGATATACCAAATGTCCGACGTTGGAAAGTTGCCAATGATTATTATTGCACTTTCGTTAATTACATTTACTATGACGTAAAACTTTCAAATATTTTAAACAACCAGATGGCATCATCAACTCCAAATTATTTAATAGATAATACCACAATCATGTTTATCCGCGTCGGAAAATCGATGAAAACTTTGGTATCGGTTACTTGTGCTTTATATTTTTTCGTCTTGTAAACGTCTAGTAGATAAAAGATAATGAACTCGGTAACATACGTTAATCATATACACTAGAAAATCAAGAACGTGCAACATTTTATTTTATGAAACTCCATATTCTATGAAATAATCCACGATTATTCTAAATTTTACAAATATTAAAAATAATATAAATTCGTTTTGATTTTTTTTTAATACTGCCTTTTATCGTTGTTGCTCGATTTTAATGTAATTGGTGATCTATATGAATACATTTTAAAAATGTAATAGTAATCTTTGAATGTCTGATAATATGCATAGAACACGGCAGAATATTTCACATGTAAAATCACTTCGATTCTGTATTATTGTGATTACGGAATACGATAATCGATAAAAGCGAAAATATCAATAATTTCCGTATTCTGGTTGTCGGTTTGTTTGTTAATCGATTATTTGAAATTTCGATAAATACAAATTATACATACGCCGTCGGATTTACACCTAACTTATTAACGATAAAATATTTTTATTCACAAGTTGTTCGTTCTCGTACGATTTTTGTCGTTGACATGGTTGTTAGCTGATATGTGTTGACGCCTTTAATGATACAACGATCGGAGGATTTGATTACCGTACACGGAAGAGAATGGAGAGAAGAAAACGTTACTAGCTTTATTGTTAGAATCAGCAATTATACAATTATGGACACAAGGGAATGCTTCCAATTGTGAATGTTCACTGTTGAATTGTTACACGGTGAACTTCATGATTGTTGCAAAGCCCGCAAAATATTCAACGAGACTGTCATAAAATATGGACACGCATTAGAGGATTGATATTTTTAGAAACCAATTGTTGTAAGTATGATTAATCATCCGAAGCTTTAAGTTTTAAGGGAAGATAGGAGATTGTCTGTGGGAACAATTAATACTTTTTCCACCGAGAGCCTTTTTTCTTTTCCTAATTAAGTTTTAACAAAAACGTTTCCCATCTACTTGACATTGTCTAGATTTAAACAAAATTGTTAAAAGAAAATACTGTCATGTTTGATATGGACACCGACTATTGCACATAAATAACATTTCCATATTATCCAAGATGCTTCCTTTTAAATTTTAATAATTATTGTAGGTATACCCTTAACAAAAATACTTTAGTTATGTTAACACAAACACATTTCGATAGTCTCGTTGCTTTTCAAATTAATGATTGATATACAATGTTGAATGTATATTTTGATTCTTTATTGTTCAATTTTATAACCAACCAATTTAATGTCTATTTCATCAAGTTCTAGTTTTCCATAATTACACTTTCGGTGGCATCAGATGATAATGTTTTACAAAATTTTAGTGTTTGATGAGTTTAACCACTTGGTTTACAATGCATTAAACACATCTTGTGTTCATCAATGTTAACCAAAGCAAAAACGTTTTCTTGTCCTAAATGTTTCATAAACATCTGCAACGCAAAATTGCAATGGCTTGTTCTTACCCACAATTCTCTGTACGGGCACTCCGCGGGCGGCAGCCATATTGAATACGTCTGACGACACTGTATTTGGACTGGATCAGTGACATACAATATAAACACTTTAACTAGAAGTGCTTTGATTAATTGGAAGTTAAAAATATTTTTAAAACTTATTGTTTTAAAAAATCCACAAATTTGACTACAATCTATTCTTTATTTATTACTAACTATGATGTGTTTGGGCACATGTATGCAGAATACCAAATATGTTTAATGGTTACAAAGTGAACGCTGAAAATTTTACATTATTGCAAAATAGCATTGAGAATTATAGTCTTCGAGCTGGATTTTGTTAAAATATGTTCTTCCATTAACAAATGAACAGTGACGTGGTTATAGTCACGTGATCAGAAAGGAATTTTTACATGGTTGAAAGTCAGATCAGCTACGACTTCGTTCACATTGTTTATACACAATGAACACGTGAAATGGATAAGGTTGGTCACTGAATATTTTGATCAAAATTAATGTTTTAGATTATATTTATTGTGAATACTGCTCGTATATCTGTGTTGATTTAACTTGCTACAATCCACGATGCCGTCCTTGTAAATTTTCGCCGCCATCTTGGAGATATTTTGTCTTTGTTCGGGAGTTTGAATTTTTCTTGAACTTTTGCTCATTAGGAACTTATTTCAGATTGATTTGTTGATTAAAAGGTTTCAATGGTATATTTGGGATATCAAACTTGCTAAATAATGACTTTTATGAATTTTTATTGGATAACTGGACCAAAATTCACCGACTTCTAAAGTTTTCAAATGCAGTTCATATACTTGGCTTACACAGCAGGCAAAGCCTCAGAAGGAATATCTATACGAAATAAAGCTTGGACCAATGTAATTTCCTTCTAAATGTGTTCTATACACTTGTAACCTTCATTTACCCTTGAATTTTTCAATTTTTTTTGGGGACCCATTTTTGCAAATTTGACTTGTTTTTTGGACTTTGAAAAATTCTTGGGAATCTGGTAGTGTAAGCAGTATTTAGAATGCCTCACTTTAAAGCCACCAAGCTCTCCTACTTAGATTTTGTAATATTAATATGGGTTCTATTGTTTTAAATCACTGTCAACACCAAAAACCTTTTAACATTAACATTTTACAACAAAAAGGGGGCTGTTTTCATGCATTTTCAATGCTGGACATGCTCAAATGTAACTACTCTGTGTTTTCTTGGAATTTGAATAAGATAAACAAAATTGTACACCAGATAAAGAGACCCCTTGCCACTTAAATAAAGTAATTTCATGCAAATATAGTGTGCTCTTTTTTATTTAGATTGAGGACATTATTTACCTTTACCTTTTATAGTTCCAGAGCTGTCTTGCATTTATTTAATGCATCATACACACAAAGTTTATATTGAATCAGAAATTATCCAGTAAGGTTATCACAGTTGCACTTGAAACATACATGTATGGCAAAGCTTCCTCTTTCTTTTGGCCATGTTAATTCCCAACTAACAATTTGTTATTCCTATAAAAAAATTCTGTATTTTACATTGAGAAATAAACTGAATTTATTATTTCTCCATTATAAATATATACTCAACAACATGGCCATTGTAAAAAATTGTTGTCATATCTGAGGAAAATGTGCTGAAAATCCACATATACCGGTAACAAATAAATTGCCTGAAAAGTGCTCAAATAGATGGGATCACCATGATCTGGTTTATGATGGCATACCAGTATTACCAACGATGTCAATCTCCATGGTTAAACCAAGAGACCAGTTAGTCATATTTTTCAGTACTGACCAATTCTTAAAGGTCTGTGATTGAAAAATGTTTTTGAAATTAGTTCATGAATTTTTTATTTGTAAACATCAGACATAATTATCAGCACCCTTCAGACAAGACATAACATTTTTTTGGCCTATCCACCCTGCTCAGTGGCACCGTAATTTTCCTATTATGGCTTTGAGACGTGAGCAGACATTACCAGTGTCATTTCAATGTCCAAGCAGAAATTATCGTTGACATTTCAATGTATGAGGAGACGTAATCAAGCTTACTTTCGTCAAGTTTAAAACTGTCTAAGGGAGGGGTAAGAAACCAGAAACCAAAGGATAAATGTGAAACTTTTCTGCTGGTTGGCTATGCTCACCCTCCAAAAAGGTTCGCATTTTTGCTCACAGCTAATATTTAACAATATCCATGAGAAGAAAACCTGATAGTCTATACTTGTTGACACCTGCAGAGTTTTTACCAAATACATGTACTAAATACTAATCATCTACTTTATTATTAAAAAACTTTTCAGCAACGGCTATCAGTAATTTAGATCTTGAAATTAAACTTTCTATTCAACCTTTTCACAAGTCAATGCTGATAATTGCTATGCATGCAAGTGTCTCCTTGTTTTTGACAAGTACTAGATTTGATACTTTATAATTGACTTTTAAACTGTTGTCTTCCACATATTATTCTTAAATGTTTTAACAAACACTGGCATGAAATTTCATGCAATTCATGACTTGCCAGTTTTTAACCGGATTCACTTGTGTCTTGACATCTTGTATAAATGTTATCGGCCATTTGTTAAAAGTTGTTTATGTCATACAAATGTATTTACTTGGATTTACAAATAACTTGTTGTGAAGAGTTTCAGCATTAAGGTAGCTGTCAACCATACATGGTTCTTTTTCACTTAGGCTAGTTTATGAGTCATGGATGCAATGAAAATCTGTCTGGGCTCATCATTTTCTAAACTGGTGAGTCCAAAGAGGCATCCAGTGTTACTAAATTTCTACATAATATGCATATAAATTGAAAACTGGTTAAAGAAAGAAAATCTAATTGGAGCATGCTGTCCAATTCATCAAATATAATTTTGCAGCAGATTCCTAAACCAAAAAAGTCGGTCCTTATATTCCAATACTCTTAGATGGCTACATGGCTTATATGACTTTTCGGCTTTGACAGTCTTCAGAGGTCATCTTGATGGACATATAGATGGTGTCTGGTCAAAATAACATACAAAATGCTGATACATTATAACAAATCCATCAAATATGAGAATTTGGTTCAACTAGGTGAACATGAATTCGACAGCTTATGGCCCCTTAATGTACTCTCCAAGTAACTTGCATTTCATTGTGACCGGATATACATGTTCTTCATTAGTTTATTATGTAAAAAATATTCAGCCCAAGAATGCACTCATCTAGGAATTATGGAATAAATAACTCCTGACATATTGGTGATTTTATTTTTCTATTGTCCCTCCTCATATGAGTATATCCTTGTGTCACTGAGTTTATTGTCTCCTTCGAGTCGTGACGCAGGGAAAAGGGACAGTTTTAAATGGTAAAGATTTCCATCCGTCTGTCAGCTTCTGCAACAACTGAACAGAATGTCTACAGCTTGACAGTGATGACTTGTAATTACTTTTTAGATCTGTTGGACACCAACTTTCTGTTTTCTGATGCTTTGTGTAAGGAGTGTGGGTATGCAGGGTACAACCTCATTTTGTATATCTACTACTAAATTAGTAGAAATAAATATGTTGTCTCATCTTGATGCAATATATTTTATGATAAAAAATGAATAAGGTTTGTTTGCTGTCAACGTCCTACCGATGATTTTTGTTTTGACTGGAATGATTCAAGACAAAAATAAATAGAATTTTAACACTTCTATTCCAATTATGGTACCGGAATTGCATAATTGTTGTAAGTCTTGTATGCAAGCTTCTGTATGATTGCATGTTTGTCTCAAGTGGTCCCAGACTGGAAGGATTTACAAATAAAAAAGCATGCATGTTGTGTATAAATAATATTGATTGATGGAAACAAATGTGCTGAAATGAACTGACTGTTACTATGTGCATTAATGATTTCCTTAGTTAAATTAATTTAAGGAGGGCATATTGAAATATCCAAGCTATAAAACATCAATACATTATCTATTACCAGTATAAATGACATGATATGGATAGATATTGTACAACTGTTAGTAGAAGAAACAATTCATTTGGCAAGGTGGATAGTCATCAAAATTATCTCCTCCCAGGTGTTTTGATCCATATATTGATAAACCAATGTTGTTACTGGTAATTGTAAAACTGAAAAAATTCACTGACATTCTTGGTAAATATATTATTGTCTTGCCTTGATGGAATCAAAAAGCGAGACTTAGGTATGTTGTTTCCTCCGGCTGGGGTTGCTTCAACAAAATATTAGTTTGTGATAAGGTCAGTTTAAGAGGAACCACTAGTGATAGGTCAATGATATTTGGTATGTAGATACATTCGTATTTGCACATCTCATTTCCATGGAGATTATTCATCCCCACCCCCTCTGTCATGGTCTATTGACTTTGAAAGTTTTAATTACTTTACATGTATAAGTTTGTGATAAGGTCAGAATGAGTGGAATCACTAGTGGGAGGGTAATGATATTTGGTATGTAGATGCATTAGCATTGGCACATCTCATTTCCATGGAAAATTATTTGTCTCTGCTCCCTCAGTCATGGTCTATTGACTTTGAATGTTTTGTATAGTTTACATGTTAAGTTTGTGATTTGATCAGTTTTAGGGGAAACGCTTAATATTAAGTCAATGATATTTGTTATTCAGTTGTATTAACATTTGCAAGTCTCTTTTCCATGGTGATTACTTAGTATATGGCCCCACCACCTCAGCATGGTTCATTTACTTTGAAACTTTTACATTTTTTACAAATTAAAGTTTGTGTTTATGTTATTGTAAAGAGAACCATGATTTATTCAATGGCATTTGGTATGCAGTTTTATAAGCATCAGCATTTCTCATTTCCATTGGGTTATTTGGTCCTGCACCTGGTTCATTGACTTTGAATGTTTTGAATAGTTTACATGTTTAAATATTGTCATTTGGATTAAATATTTGCATTATATTATCAAATTACAAAAAGGTGAGACATATCACTGTGTCAACAATATATTCAGATTTGTTTTTAGTCCCCTACCGACGAAGTCGAAGGGGACTTTAGGTTTGCACTCCCTCTGTCTGTCTGTCCGTCCGTCAGTCCATCCGTCAGTCCTGCAAATAAGTTTTCCACACTTTTTTTTTTCGTGCTTGAAGATATTGATTTGATATTTGGTGTATTCTTTTATCATGACAAATTACAGATCAAGTTTGAATTTTGTTCCGGTCTGGTGATTTTGTGCAGAGTTATGGCCCTTGGACTTAGAAAGTTCTATCAAATTATCAGTTTTCCGCACTTTTTTGTCATGCTTGAAGATATTGATTTGATGATTGGTATATAGTTTTATCATGACAAGTTATAGATCAAGTTTGAATTTTGTTCCGGTCTAATGATTTTATGCAGAGTAAAAATGTATGGGTGGGAACTATGTATTTCCAGGCAATAATTACAGAATGCTTGTTGTTTTAAAAGTGCCAGTGTCTCAACAAGTATGAAATGATGATAGAAACCTCAGCTCGCAAT